ATAATACTATTTTTTACTATAAATATATCTCATTCTTTCATCTGCAAGCTTTTTTTTGCAATTCAATTTAAATCAATAAAAATAATAAAAGGTTATGAGGATTACAAATAACAATATAATTATTATTTAGCCAATTTAAGGTAGGCTTATTTTTATTTTTGTCCTCATATTGTTTAAATTTTATGATCGATTAATTGATCAATCTTGTTAAAAGCTGAAATTATTTTTAATTTTATAATCTTAGTAAAGAATTTCAACAGAATAGAGAAGATAATTTTTAATAGAGTAGTTATTTTATGTTTCCACATGCAACTAAAATTCCTTTAGAAATATTTGATTGCCAAAAAACTTATAAGAAAAATTTTTTATCATCAGTTTTTTATTACAATTCGATTACTTCCAAAATCAAAGTCAATAACTAAATCATTTTATCAAAAATTAAATAAGTGCAGACTTGATTTATTCATAAAAATCTCAATTTAAAAATAATATTTTTTGCAACCTAAACTCTTAATATGCACTAATTTGCAGATTTGTACAGCATATTAAGAATACTTTAACTAAATCTGATTTTTTTATTTAATCCAATAATATATACGACCTAAAATTAAATTACTCTTTATTTAATAAGGTGATAAAGTCCTAAATAAATACTAAATGATATTACGTATATATTTTCATAATTTTAAAATTCAAATTTAACATATAAATTATAATTATTAAAAAAAAATGTAATTAAATATAATATTTAATTAAAATTAAGATAATTTATTCAAATCTCAATGATTTAATGATCATGAGTATTTTGGAGTTAAATAATTATAAGAAAAAATTAAAATATAATTTTGATTTGAATCATAATAAAATATAACATTGTATTTTATAGAATCATTTTAATTCTTAGGTTAATGCTAACTATTTTAGAAATCTTTCAAATGATTCATCTCCTAAAATAATTTATTGTGGAATTAAATATACTACCCTTCTTAGCATAGCATATTCTTTTACTAATAGATTTTTGATTATAAATACAACGACCATTAAGAATATAATCAAATAAGAAATGAATATAATTGTTATTATGAGAGTGAATTCATTTTATTATGTTGTGATTTATTTCAAACCAATTTAAAATTCATCAGAAACTCTAAAAAATGATCTAATTACAATTTATGATCCTTCCATTTCATAAAGATTAACTTCAGCTCTTTTAGTAAAATTATTAACAGCTTATTAATTTTTAATTTAATTTGACATAAAATTAAGAACTGAAATTGAACCTGATTTTAATAATCCATCAAATGATTTTTCACAATATAATGACATAAATTCTATATAAATCTATAAATATTAAAATATAATATATACTTAATCTATAAATTCACATAAATCATGAGTTTATTAATATTCAAAAAAAGAAATGAATTCATCAGATAATAAATACTTATTTGATTAAAATGAACTTGTAAAATCTAAATATTCCTATATATTCATTTATGCTTTATCTATTAATTAATATGCTCTCTCTAAATCATAAGCTGTTAAATAAGTAAAATTCTTCCATCTTAATAAGTGTTCTCTATACATATACATTGATCCACTTCTGAATTTTAAATTTTAAATCATAAAATAAAAATCTGCTGTGTCATCATATTTACTAATGTATTCATTTGTTTTGATTTAAATAACTATTATATAAACTTAAAATATGCAAGCTACTAATATTAAAAACACTAAAATATTTCTTCTTTGTATTTTAATTTATGAATTACTTTCAACATTTTTCTTAGTATTTGTGATTTTGTTTAAAGCAATATAATTATTCATTAATTATTCTTAACGCTAAAGATCAAATTAATATGAATATATAGATTCTTAATTTGTAGTTATTAATTTATATAATTAATTCAGTTTATCTATTTCTAAAGATATTTTTTATTTATCCATAAAATTTAATAACTATAAAAATCTATCATATAATTTATAATATTGATGAAGTTCAATCATTAAAAATATTGTATTTATAATTACAATGAAAGCAAAAAATAAACAAATTATTTACCATTTTATTCCTACATTTTAACTTCTATTTTTAGAATATTATAAAATATCATTTGTAATACTTTAAAGTTTATCCTGAATATTATAATAATTGGAAAACAGAAAAACTTAATATGGTTATCCTGCAGTACTCTCCCTCTTTTAAAATGTTCTCATTTATGCAAATTAGTATTGTAAGATGATCAATAAACCTTCTCTAAATGATAAATGTTCCATTGCATAATTTTCTGTGTCATTGTTTCTCATAAATAGTAGTGTCATTACCTCTTCATCTAAAAACATTTTCAAATAATCATTTTCTAATTATTGATAAAAACTATCCCTCAATTCATAATATCCATATTAAATATTTAAATAATAAGGTTCAGTCAAATTTTTAACTTTGTTAGCAGGAATGAATCCTTCCCTTGACATTTATTGATATGAAGTAATGGTATTTCTCATTGAAAAAAATAAATCATGAGGTCCTTAGATACTTGCATGCAGAGCAATAATCTCTATATCTGAAATAAATTACTAAATGTCATTATGAAGAATCGATATCACTAAGGATAAGCATATTGTTTAAATCAAAACAAATAAAATAAAAGTAGCTAGAGAAATTTTCAAAATTTTTGGGATTTTAATTTTAGTCAAAGAGTTCAATAATTCATATTTTTTTATAACTTCGCTATTGGCTCCAATTTCTGTTGATTATAAAGAATTCTTTAATAAATTTTCAATCAATTTTTGATCACCTTTTTAATTGAATTCTTCGTGATCTATACTATTAATTTGTTTATTTTATTTTTAATTTGTATTTACAGTGTAATAATCTTATTACGATGATTAACGCAACAATTTATTTTATTATTTTTCAATCAATTAACTTGTACTTTTATTAGGAGATAACATTAATTAAAGTTAGTCCATCTTTAGATAAGCTTCTTCTTAATCTACTTCTTGTACTGCAAATAAATTTATAATTTGACTATTCTTTTGTAAATTCTATGAATAATTTTCCCTATTTTTAATTGTAAATTAATTAATTAGTCTTGGCATAGCTTCCTCTATTGATAAATTTAATTAACTGATTTCAAAACTTTATGATTATTCAAGATTTCTATGAACTTCACTATTTTTTTCTTAAGTTTTATTACATTTTTAAGTTTAAACTAAAGAATCAATTTGAATAACATAATAATGGTAACCATAAATTTCATAAGTGTAAATAGTAATACTTGAATAATATGATTTTATATGAGGATTGTCCCATAATTTGAGTAAAAATTATGCCTATTGATGATTTGAATCAAAATTCTCAGTTTGTAATTCACTAAAAAAATATTCCAAATCAATAAAATATGTATCTATATTATTATACTTTATAATTGATTAATTTTCATTTTAAATGAATTCATCAAAATCTGGAAATATTTATGTTATTTTTATCTAATAGAAAATAGAAAAATCTGCTATATTGTCTATGTAAATTTAATTATATCCTAAGGTTGAAAACATAGATTTTGTTATTCCTCCAACAATTAAGTTGACATCTACCATTATAAATGGATTTTAGATATCTATTTCTTATAATAAACCAATGAGTGTAATTTTTTCTTACTCTATTTAAACTAAATTGTCAAAACTAAAAATAATAGATTTAGCCAAATTTTTTTTAGATTTAATGAAAGTTTAATTAAATTATTTATAAAATTTTGATTATCCAAATTTAAAAAATCTTGATATTAATAATGGATGTTCTCTAGATATAAAAGGTAGAAATAGAGAATAGAAATGTATTTCATCATTCGGATTACATTCAATCAATTATCTTAAATTTGTTGAATATTTTAATATTTCTGCCCCTTATAAATCATCATCTATCTCTACCATTATATAGCTTATTTTATTAGAATAAAATTTAATATTCATATTTTGATTTAATATTGATATAGGATCATCTGAAAGAGATGCTTAATTGTATAATTTAAAAGCCTCTAATATATTTCTAAAGATTTCTGCTTCATAAAAAATTTATAGTGATTATAATCTTTTACTTTGATAATTTTCATATTCTAATTATAATATATTTTTAAAAATTATTAATTTACTTGAAATTAAAGTTAATGCTTTCATGAATTCAGAAATTTTTTTATCTTTAATTTGTTAAGTTAAATTTTCTAAATATTTTATTTTTAGTTTTAAGATTTTTCTAATTTCATTTATATATTGGTCCATTTTTAGTTCCTATTTCATAAAAGCTTGAATTTATTCTGATAAATTATGTTGTTCAGCTGTCAGCCAATGACCACCAAACAAATTTTTTAGTTAATGCTTCGTCTAAGTTAAAAAAAATTCAATTTTTTAAAGTTAAATAAAATCAAATTTAACCATTTAAGTTAAAGTATTTTTTTGATGCCTCTTTTGTTCATTCATTTAAATTTCTTAAAATTTTTTTTCAGGCTCATTTATTGTTTGAGATGAGGAATCATTTTTTTAAGTTGCTGAAAAGGAGTTAGGTTTTAAAATTGATTAATTAATACTTTGTTGAGAGTTCCTCAAATTTTTCCGACCATATAATAACTAATTAAAATGTCTTATTGATTATATTGACCAACCATTATTTGATAATAATGCTCCATACAAAAAAGTGTAATATTAAAGATCATCCAAATTGTCAAATTTATAATTTATAATAAATTTTCTTATTTATTTTAACTTTTTTTGAACAAAATCTTTATCTATTTCAGATGTAATAGTAGCTGTATCTTTAGGATCAATTAAAAGTTTATTATGATGGCAATAACATTATATATCATTACATTTCTTCTTATGATGATTATAAATGAATAATTTATAAATTAAAGGGAAATTATAATTATTTTATTTTTTTATTAACAATTAGGTGATTGCAAATAATTAAATTTTTTTTCGCTCAAAAGCCTAATGAAATATAGTGAAATTTAAATATTAATCTATTTTGATGAATATTTTAAGTAATAAAGGAAATGAGAAAATTGTATAAATAAATACTTGAAATTATTATGTTGAAATAATTGTTTAAATAAGTGAATAAAATACATAGAGTATATTAAATGAATCAGAAAAGTAAATAATAAATTTTTTGTTATTATCTATAATAGTTTAATTTTCTTATAAATTTAATGTATTTAATGAAGAACTCAATAAAACAAGTAAATGTATTATCCAAGAAACAATTTAAGAATTTTTAACAACTGAAAATAAAATAATGATAATTAAGTTTAAAAATTAAATTATGTATTCTTTAATTGTTATTCTTAATCTATCAAAACATATAATCTTACCATCTATTGATTATTCACTTATTTATAAATGATAAATTCCTTCTAATTATAATATTACAAAACATAAAATCCCAAATAATAAATGAATATAATTAAGATTGTTTAACTCTACCTACTTATACTGCTGATATATATATTAACAGCTTAGCGTCGAAAATAAAATATGAAAAACAGTATAAAATAATTGCCCATACAATCCAATAGATTTGATTAAATAAGTAAACTTGTTTTTCGATAATTTATCATCAAATGAAAGTAATATGTAAGATAAATATTTTATTATAATAATGCTTAATATTGTATAGACACTTAAACTTGAGATATTTTCAAAGGTCGATATAAACAGGTCTATTCTAAAAATTACTAACAGAATGTAGTCATATAGATATAAATTATTTGTGTCTTACCATTTATAATCCAAATAAAATAAAAAGAAAATCAGCTAAAATTTGCAAATAAAGAAAAGCATCAACTAAATTTGCGAATTTATTCTCACACTCCTTTCAGAGTGCATTGTAGCTTAAATCATTTTGCTAAATATATCCTCGATTTAAATTCCTTTGTTGCTTTTTTTGTTATTTGCCTTTCGCATTTAGCGATTAATCTTTATAATAATAATTTAAAATTGTTATTCGATATATATGAATACTTGAAATGCTATGTAATATAAAAATAAATTAAAAATTAAATGTTCTTTAAATTATTATATATATTATACATACAATAATAAGTATCATCATTTTAATGGTATGATTTTCCTTTTCTTTAGAATGTTTGTATTAATGTTTTCATCATTATTTTTAATATATGGATTTGATTTTCTAGCTAAAGGAATTAGATTTCGATTCTATTTTTAATAAATACTTTTTCAAACTGAGCAAGGACTTTAAAGTCTCATAGCAGAAACTGGTCTATCTTAAGGTTTTTAATTTTTAGGATCATTCAAAACATTCACAGGTTGCTATTATTTGGCAGGAGTTAGGGGTATTTTCTATCATAATAAAAAAATAAATTATTACAGGTCTTAGTATTTGCTAATTAGAAATAACATTTGGTTATTTTTTTTAACATTGAGGAGTATGATTTTGGATCTTACAGTGTATTTTTATTTATTAAATGAAACTGATCTAGTAGATTTTGGTTAATTTGGTAATTATTTTATTGGTTGTTTGATATCATACATAGGTGTTGCTAATTTTATTTATAACTATTTTAAATTTTTAGGTAATAAAATTGTTTATAATAATTGTGCTTTGGCTAATTATTATTATTATTTAGATTATGGCTCGAATTTATCAATATATTTCTTAATAGTAGAGTCATTCAAGATTTATTCATAATTGGGTCTTAATTATGAAGGTACTTTTAAAGAGAAGCAATCATGAAATTTATTTTTTAGAATACTATTTGGGTAATTTTCATAAATGCCAGCTGACATTTTTCTAAATAAACCTTTAAGGTCATTTGCTCTAAAAGATGGCTTAAGTGTAGCCATTTCATAAATAACGCATTCAAGTGAATATGTATCTGAAGGGTTAGAATAAGGTTAATCTCTACTTACTTCAGGACTAGCATAATCTTAAATAATTTACATGGAGTTCCTGTTTGTATTTTTGCCATAGTTATATATATTAAAGCTTTCCATATTTCTTTTTCTTCAATTAAGGTATGTTTGCGAATTGAATTTTAATTTATTTAGCAATGTCACCTCTAGATGCCTATTCCATTATGACACATAAGCTATTTGATTGTTCATCAAAAAAAGCTTCTTTGTATCCTATAATATTCTGATCTTAGATTGAAAATAGAATTCTTATTTCATTTAATGCATTTTCCCTCTCCCTTAATTTTATATTACAAATTCAAACTTTTTTCTGGGCATATTCTTAATTATCGCTGTTACGTTTTACTAATATATTGATATCATAAATATTATTATACGCCTATCTAAAAGAGCCTTTTCCTAATTTTTATAAAATAGTAAAATCTGTTAATTTTGTTTATTTTTTCATAGTTTAAATAATTAATAGATTAAATTATATTAATAAAAACAGCATCTAAATTATTTGTAAAAATATGATTGAAATTTTAATGGGCTGTGTCATAATGAAATATTTATATAGCATAATAATAAAAATATTTATTTATTAAATTTTTTATTAGATTTATTTATATTCTTTAATAGTGAGTTTAATATGAAAAATAATAAATCATTAAACAACAGAAGCTTCTTCATTTATTCTTAGTAATTCATCCTCAACATTATTAAAGTATAATTAAATTTAATGTTTCATATTTCTTAATTTTTTAAGTTTATCTTAATCTATATTATTTTCCATTTATTTTATCATATTTTATTTAATTATGTCAATTAATTTAAGATCTTCTGTTACCTTTTAAATAGAATTCTCACTACTCTATCTATTAATAACAGGAATTTATTAAAGATCTTTAAAACTGTTTGTTAATTTATCTTTTGCTGTTTAAACTCTTTAAAGAAATCTATATTGTATTATTCAATATTACCTTTACATCTCCTCTATTTCCATTTAAATATTGTTGATTTCTCCTTCTACATGTTCTTAATAAAATTATTCAAATGATTTTTTTTATGGCTCTTTATTTTGGTTATAATTTATATCTACTTTTTCTTAATTTATCATATAATCTTTGAAACATTTAGATGATTATAAACTCTATTCTTATTCATAATCTTTTGAATAATTTTGTAAATTATTGAATAGATTCTCTTCCTATCTTCTCTTTCCAATTTAATCATTACCAAAATTAGAAGTATCATAACTGTATTAGTTTTATTATTATGAGTCTTATTATGATTAAGATAGTTTAAACATGTCTTCTATAGTACTTGTTCCAAAATGTTATTTTGAATCTCTGTTAATTAATAATGTTTAACCTGAATTTAGATTAGTTTATAATTGTTGCTAATCTTATTAGACTAACATTTTTTCATATTTATTAATAAATTCTCTAACATTTTCTTAGTTTAATTCTTATTGTTATGATTAAAAAGTCATTTAATTGCATTTAATTTAAACTTCTTCTGTTAAGGATTCACTAGTTGGATAATTTCCATTTTTAAGTTTATTTGTATCAAAGCCTTAAATCTGCATTCTATAATAATTGATTTATTTTTCTGATTAAGCTGCCAAAACCATTTCTAACTATATAATATAAACTCTAATTTGATACTTTAATTTGTTCAATCCAACTTAAATATTTTTTTAATTCAATTTTTGCTTCCTTAAATCTTCTGAGAGTATTCAATATTTCTTTATCACTTTTCATTAACGAATTTAATTAAAATTAATAATGGATGCAGTAATGAATGGTGCAATAGCTGGAGCTACTACAGTTTTAATTACAAACCCATTTGATCTAGCTAAAACAAGATTATAAGCTTAAGGAGAACTAGTTGCTGAAGGTCATTATAAGAGAGCATATTCTGGTGTGATAAATACATTAATAAAAACTTCATCATCTGAAGGATTATTAGCAATTTAAAAAGGATTGTAGGCTGCTATTGTATTTTAAATTATTATGAACGGTTTACGATTTGGAAGCTATGAGATTGTAAAGGATATTGCAAATGAATAATTCCATTTATATAATTCTCATGGATATGTAAAGGTTTTATCAAATATTGGCATTTCAGCAGGAGTTGGTTGTTTTAGTGCGTAATTGATCTAATATTTAAATTAAGTTTTGTTTCCAGTCCATTTAATATGATTAAAACTAGATTAATGCTTTAAACTAAGGATCTACCATGTGGAAATAGATATAATTATTCAGGACTTATTGATGCAATTTCATAAATATTTAAATTGGAAGGGTAAATTTAATAGAAGAGTTAAATAGATTAAAAGGACTTTATGCTGGATCTTCAATTATGGCACTTAGAACTGGATTAGGATCTGCAATTTAATTACCAGTTTTTGATTTTACTAAAGAACATGGAAAATAATGGATCAAAAACTAAACTGAATTAAATATGTTAGCTAGTGCTAATGCTACTTTATGGTTATGTTTAATGACTTGTCCTGTAGAAGTGGCTTTGACTAGATATTTTAATTAATAATTTGATAAAGTAATCATATTTAAATATTTTATTAGTATGGTAATCCTACAGTTTATTAAGGATGTTTTCATGCCATAAAAATAATTTTTTAATCAGAGGGTTTCTTAGGGTTGTACAAAGGACTAGGAGGTTTATTTTTTAGATCTGGTCCATAATCGTTTATCTCATTATTAATAGTTAATCAATTAAATAGTCTAAGAAATTCAAAAAAATAATGAGTATCTTATAATTTTGGTTATATATATTGAATTTGCAAAAACATTAATTAATCATAGATCTTTAATGAATCTAAAGTTCTCAGGTTCTTTTAATGCTCTTAACAAATTTTATCTATACTTGAGATGCCAAATTGTATTAGAAATTCTAGAGTTATAAACGTAAGCTACTGACTGATTTTTTAAAAAGTATTAACTTAAATTATTAAAGATCAATAAGTACCTTATAATACGAAAGACTTTATTAAATTCTGAAAACTTGCCTCCATCAATCCAAAGATCTCTTAATTATTTAATATTAGTCATTTAATTTTTTTTATTTTTTAACAGATTCAAAAAGTCATCATATTGCTTATCTGAGAAAAATGATTTAAGTAAATCTGGGTTATTCATGATATATGAGATAATTGCTTTCGAAAAATTCTTTGTAATGTTTTTAGTATCATTTATTTTCTTTTCTTTTTTCTTTCTTATGATTTTGAAGGATTCAGAACTATCAATAGATAAGTTTTTATTTTAATGTTTTTTCATTTTTTAAGGTTAAGGAAGTTCATTCCAACTGCTTTCTTCCTATCGTATAACTTCACTTTAACAAGATTCTTCTAAATTCAGAAATTTTATTTCTTCCTTTTTGAAATGCAAATCTTTTTTAATTGCTTTTGGCTTCAAAATGGTTGATTGTCTACAGTTTTGATTAGATTAACAAGTAATATTACAGATACCTTATGCATTTTGTTATTGATCTAAATTTTAGTGCAACTGTTGATTTTGGTTTTAATTTATGTTCAAGAATGGACAAAATGAGCCATTTGGTGATTAACTTATTAATGTACTAAGTTAATTCAAATATTATTGTTAAGTTGGTAATAATAGTAATGGCCTTTAAAGCAATTTGCTATCAAGAGAATTTGTGATTAGTAGTTCTATATATTTTTGTCTATCCTTTAATAAGTCAATTCCACCATCGAAAGATAATTTAGAGACAACTCTTTGATTTTATATGGATTAAGTTTGATTAATTTTTTAGATTGTTGGAATGTCTCCTGTGATTAATTAGATTGCGTCTCCTTGTGAATCTGGAACTTTGGGTTCAATTGAGTATGGTTAGACAGGATCATATGATGCATCCTATTTATAATTTTATGATCTTTGAATTAGAGAATTGTATGGAAGGAAAGATTTCCCATATTTTTTAATGCCTTCCGCCATATTTAATTATATTATGATATATTGATAGCATATATTAATTAAAAAATGAGCTACATGTAAACTTGATTTTCAGATACAATGATTTTGTCTTCTTAATTCCATTTTAATGAAATTTGAAAGTGCTAAGATTCATTATTTATATATATATATATATATATAAAATATTAAATATATAATGTTCAATTAAACTAAAAATCTGGAAATTGTGATTTAATTTTTGATAATAATAAAAAATGATTAATTTGATTGTGTAATATCAAATTTAAATAACAATATAAAATTTTATAATTATCAATACTCTTAACCAGCTATGATTATTCTGACATGTCTATCAAATTAATCATCCAAAAATAACACTGAAGTTGGAATTAATAAAATAAATCTTCTAACTAAAAGTAACTCTTTTTGTAATTTTGGTAATAAATAAAATATAAAATACAGCATCAAAAGGATCGAATATATCATATATATGATTGAAATACTCTAATTAAAATAATAATAAATATTTACATTTGAAACAGCAATTTATTAATTTGTAACATTTACCATTCCTGCTTTAAACTATTTACTCATAATTTATGCAGCTCTCATTACTATTAATCCACCTTCATTCTCATACCAATTGTATTCGATTCTCTTTGTAAAATTATTCATGGCCATCTATACAGTTATTGTGGAATATATAAATTTTAAAGTCTAAGTCAATCCTTGTTTCAAAGATCCTTATAAAGAAATATCACAATATTGTGTTAGAAATCCTAAAGTCTCATCTCCAATTGTTGTACAAACATCATTTTATTGAATATTAAGAAAAAAATCCAAAAAATCTTAAGAAACTTAATATTTTGAAGCATCAAAAGAATAAGAAAATTCTAAAAATGTAGTAATTGTATTTAAACTTATATCCATAGTTACATAGAATTTCTCTTTATCATATTATCTTAAGTAAGGTAAATTAGGAAAATTAAGACCAAAATCTCTATTCCTAAATAGTGTTCCTGCATACAATGTCATGTCTTATAACAATTTATATGTATCAGCTGTGGCAGTATATTTATTTAAGTAATCTGCTATTTAAATATTTGCAACTATACTTAAGGCTAAAAATATTAACCACCCAAAAATTATAAAGAAAAATCCAGAGAAAAAAGAAAGATTCTTTATTTATTATTGCACTTTGATGTCTTTAGCTTTTATTTAATCATGATCATTTTTCTATTTCTCTTTTAAAATATTATCCTCTTTACTTTCAATAGAAAATTAATAATTATAAAGAGTCTCAGTATTTTTATTCAAAATCTTTACTATTGACTTTAACTTATCTATTTCTAAATCCATTTTATAAGAAGAACAATATCTAAATTGATTTACATATTTATC